GACTCTCCAGCAAACTACAACTTAGAGTAAGGGAAGCTACCCTTACATTTTGGTCCTTCGAGCCGGATTGGAGTCTGTGGTCTATCGGTCTCCCGGTCCGTGAGCGTACTAAACGAATTCCAGTAACGTGTGAATTGAACTTTGAATCTTGGTAGCGAATCGGTCGGCCGGCTTCCCAGAAGAGGGTCTCACCGGTAACGATTGAGAAGGCGCACATACCTTGAGGAGAGGTCACTCATACGGTACTGAACAACGCATATATAAAAAACTCTTCGACATTTACATTTGAACTTCAGCACAATGGAGAGTCTATTTCAACGTCAAGAGATACTCTCAGAAACAATTAATAAAATTGGTGTAAACTTCAACAAGGACGCAGCTGCCCGTAAAACCACCGATTACATCAAAAAACGTGTGGATACACTTGACGAGCTGTGGAACGAATTTGAAAACAACCACAGCAGACTTCTTTACTACGACATCAAAACAACAATGTATGTCAACACCAACATGTACGAAAAAGTGAAGTCTAAATATGAGTCCATCCGCAACACTCTTTTAACTTATCAAGCCCCTCCTGACGGAAGGGAGGCAAGGGGAACTCCATCAAAGTCCGACGAATTGATCATGCAACAAGCTACCAACTTCAGAGCCCTATCTCGGTTAATTCGCAATATTGACATTGAAACCATTAACGAGAAGTGGGAGGTTGAAGACAAGTTGCAGATGCTTCAGGCCAGGTGGAAAATAATAGATGAAACACATTGGCAGATCGACAATCTGCTTACTGATTGTAACTTGGACTACGAGCAAGATTTCACTGATAACGAAAATCGGTACGAGTCTGTTAAACGTCAATTACATCGCAAATTGAACGCCACCACATCCCAGAATCAATCTCTACCAAAAATCGAGATCCCTATCTTCTCGGGTAACTATGCGCAGTGGCCAACCTTCCTAGATTTATACAGAGAAACGATTCACAACAACATGTCACTCTCTAAAGCCCAGAAGATGCAACATCTTAAAGGGAGGCTCCGAGGTGAAGCGGAAAGGATTGTCCAACATCTTACGGTATCGGCAGAAAACTACGATGCGTGCTGGGACATATTAACACATAGATACGACAACAAACAGCTTCTATTTACACGGCTAATGCAAACGTTCATGAATCAACCCTCTATCCAACACCAAAGTGCGTATGAACTAAAACGGTTACACGATACCACTCTTGAGACGACTCACGCAATTAATAACCTAGGGGTGGATACAGCAACGTGGGCTCCTATCTTAGTTCATATCCTAACAGGAAAGCTGGACGCCGACACCTATACGTCTTATATGGAAACAAGAAAGGCCCCACGAGAGCTACCAACATTCGCCGAGTTTATACAGTTCCTGGAAAGCAAGTTTACTGCCTTGGAACCCGTAACCAGGAAAAAACAGCAACCCAACGTCTCTACAGCGCCAAAACCTTATAATCCGCCAGAAAGAAATCCACCTGCTAGAGACTATTCGACGCCATCACTAAGGGCAGTACAAAACAAACAGACACGTGCTCACCCACGAACGTACCACGTGAGCGCCGAACGATCGTGTCCCTTATGTAAAACAAACCACGTGTTAATGAACTGCAAACTATTTTCTGACATGGCACCTGATGCTAAATTGAAAACAATTTCACAATTAAATATATGTGAAAATTGTCTATATTGCCACGATAAACAATGCCATTCCAAGAAAACGTGCCGTGTCTGCAACTTGCCGCATCACACCTCGTTACACGACAGTCTTCGCGTTGCTAAGCGAACTCCGCCACCGCCGGAGGGTCAACCACCTTTGCAACCTAAATTCAATCACGCCGTGCCTCTACAAACATCTTCAAACCACGTGGCGGGCAACTATAATGAGGTGTTATTAGCCACCCTACAAATAAGGGTCAAGGCCATTAACGGCACTTATGTCACACTGAGATGTTTACTCGACCAAGGATCACAGATCAATCTCATAACCGAGTCTGCAGTACAACGTCTCGGACTCCCTAGACAGCATGAGAACGCCTCTGTATTTGGAATTGGAGCATCTAACACCCAGAGTAATGGAACCGTATCATTAAACTGCACTTCACTTTATGGCGACTATACATTTACTACCAGCGCATTAGTTATGAAAAAGGTTCTAAATAACTTGCCTAACTGCAGCTTCAAAAAACAACAATGGCCACACCTACAAGACATAAACTTGGCGGACCCCGACTACAATGTTTCTCGACCTGTGGATGTCCTACTCGACGCGGGTGTATATGCAGAAATAGCTACAGGGTGCATCTTACGTGGCCCTAGCGAAGCACCCATAGCACTACAAACCAAGGTGGGATGGGTCCTTCTCGGCAACATGAAAACATATAATTGTCATGCTCTCATTCATAACCTAGAAGAAATATCACTATTTTGGGAATTAGAAGACATTACTACAAACAATAATAAACAAATGACTTCAGGCGAGGCGTGTTGTGAAACATTATACGCGAACTCGACACGCCGCCTCGTAGACGGTCGCTACGTAGTAAAAATACCTATGAAACAGAATTACGAACAAAAATTAGGTACATCCAAGCGACAAGCAGTAGCGCAATTCAGACAACTTGAAAAACGTCTAACGCAAAACGCAGAATTGTCTGACAGTTACAAGGCGTTCATAGGTGAATATGTGGAGCTCGGTCACATGAAGCTCAGCACAGAATCACGAGAGCCAAGCTGCTTCCTGCCACATCACGGGGTTCTCAAACCCGAATCTACTACGACCAAATTGCGTGCCGTATTCAACGCGTCTTCGAACACATCGTCAGGGTACAGTTTGAATCAACTTATGGAATGCGGCCCGAACCTACAACAAGATTTACAATCAATGATTTTACGGTGGCGATCATACCAATACGTTTATACGGCAGATATAGAACAGTTTTACCGCCAAATCTTGATTGCTGAAGAAGACCAACATCTTCAAAAAATTGTATGGAGGGACTCTACACTCGAACCAATACAAGAGTACCAACTGTGTACAGTAACCTATGGTACTAAGGCCGCACCATTCCTCGCTATGCGCACAATTAAGCAACTGATTATGGATGAGGGCAAGTTCTACCCTCTAGCTGCTGAAATCCTCGATCATCAGTTATATGTTGACGATTTGTTAGCCGGCTGCAACAGCATAGAAGAAGCACAAATGGCACAAAGCCAATTAATTACAATGCTAAAATGCGGAGGATTTAACATGCGCAAATGGGCTAGTAACAATCTCACTCTATTGGAAAATTTGCCCGAGGAACTTATTAATCAAAACATGTTCAATTTTCAACAGGCCGAGACAAACAAAACACTAGGCATGACGTGGAATCCCCAAACGGATAACTTTACGTTCCGACATAACTCAGTTACGACTACAAATGGCGTCACTACGAAACGAACTCTGCTGTCCGAACTCGCCAAACTATACGACCCGCTTGGATGGCTATCTCCTGTTACAACGAAGGCAAAGCTCATGTTTCAGCAAGCTTGGAAAACGACATCAGACTGGGACAGCCCTCTTCCAGAATGCATACAACAGGAATGGGAACAATTCAACAAAGAACTCCCATCCATACAAAATTTTTTTATACCTCGCTGGATTGGGAACACTCAACAAAACATTGAGCTTCATGGATTCAGTGATGCCTCTGAAAAGGCCTATGGATGTGTAATCTACTGCATATCTACAGGACCACATGGAAAAAAGATCATACAAATTGTGGCGGGCAAAACAAAGTTAGCGCCTTTGAATAAGCGCATTACACTACCGCGCATGGAACTATGCGGCGCATTGTTACTAGCACACCTCATGAAAAAGGTCACTGACTCAATAAAGGCGCAGACAGTCACAATACACGGGTGGACCGACTCTATGGTAGTACTAGGATGGCTACAAGGTGAACCCTACCGATGGAAAACATTTGTGGCAAACAGGGTGACACAAATAACGGAAGTCATGCCCCCAAATTGCTGGAGACACGTAAAATCAGAGGATAATCCTGCTGATTGTGCGAGCCGTGGTTTGTCTCCATGTCAACTCCTGTCGCACTCTCTCTGGCGGGAGGGCCCTTCATGGCTGAAAAGTAATGACCTGCCTCCTGAAAACATATTCGAAACGCGCGAAGAAGAGCGAAAGCAACCTCAAGTGTGTGTGACGCAAATACCTGCCCCACTTATTGAAGAGCTTCTACATAAGCATAGCTCCATGACACGTGCAACAAGAACGCTGAGCTGGACCCTACGTTTTATAAAAAATGCGCGTGACAAAAACGGCGCCATTCGACTCACGTACTTATCGTCAACTGAATTAAGGTCGACATTACACATGATAATCAAGACAGTACAACATAACTCTTTTGCAGAAGAAATTTCGCAACTACAAAAACATAACCGGGTCAGTTCAAGCAGCAAAATTATTAATTTGAATCCAATAATTGATCGAGACACTATACTACGAGTTGGCGGGCGACTAGGTCGAGCCGACTTGAGTCACACTCAAAAACACCCCATCATCCTACCGAAGAAACACAAGCTGACCGAATTATTAATTGAACAGGCGCACGCTGCTACTCTCCACGGAGGCGCTCGATTAACCCTGCAGTATCTACGAACCAAATATTGGATCATTGGAGGCATGTCAACGGTCAAGCAATGCATTACAAGGTGTGTCAAATGTCACCGCCACAATAAGCAGAACAGCTACCAATTGATGGCCGACTTGCCCGAACAGCGGGTGAATCCCTCCCGCCCCTTTACTCATACGGGGGTGGACTTTACCGGACAAGTGGATGTCAAGGCCAACAAGGGTCGTGGAATTAAGACGATGAAAGCCTACATCGCTGTTTTCATTTGCCTATGCACCAAGGCCGTTCACCTCGAGTTGGTATCTGATTTAACTGCAGCCGCTTTCATCGCTGCCTTAAAACGTCTTTGTGGCCGAAGAGGAACACCCAGGCACATGTATAGCGACAACGGCACAAACTTTGTTAGCGCTGCCAAGATATTAACGAAAGAAAGAGAGGAGGCCCTGCGACTATATGTAAACGACGAGTTCCTGAACTTTGCTGCTGAATCTAACATCGAATGGCATTTCAATGCTCCATCGTGGCCTACTGCAGGCGGCCTCTGGGAAGCTGCGGTCAAGAGTTTAAAACACCATCTTAGACGCGTGCTGGGGGAACAACGACTAACATTTGAAGAATTCTCGACGTTGCTGGTACAGATCGAGGCTTGCCTGAACTCGAGACCACTAGTGGCTATTACTGAGGACCCAGAGGATTTAGATTGTCTCACTCCTGGGCACTTCCTGGTCGGCGGGCCTCTGTTAGGACCACCATTACGCACCGACGACAACAATATGAGCTTAACTATACGATGGCGCCAAACAGAAAAAATGTTAAGCGATTTCTGGAAGCGGTGGTCAACAACTTATCTACAAACCTTACAAACACGAAGTAAATGGTTCTACCCTACTCCGAATTTGCAAATTGGCGACCTAGTTCTATTGAGAGATGATCACATTCCCCCAGCGAGATGGCTAATGGGAAGGGTAACAGACACCCATGCAGGAGCGGACGGACGAGTGCGCGTGGTCACACTAAAAACAAAAACCTCAGATAACGTGAAACGCCCCATTACGAAGCTCTCACGCTTACCAATAAGTCACGCTCCGGACGAGGCTGATAATTCACGTGCAAAACCTAAGAACACGGGAACGCATCAACGACCCAGAAAACGAAACATCCTTAGTTACTTGTGTGTTACACAACAATATTATTCACTACAATGTGCATAAGCTCGGCAACACCACAGCCTATCAATGTGACCAAGTTAAACCCTGAAAAACTTATTTACTTCGATAAGCTGTCGGATATGAAAATAATACAAGACAAGTGGACGATGGTTGTGTATTACAATATGACTACTTATTGGCAAAGCTTTGATCATTTGGAAAAATACATAAACCACTTCAAGGAACTTTGCGCGCAAGAATACGAATATCAGGCCTTAGTATTACAATTTCAACACGAACTGAACGAGTTAAACCACTACAACGTCGTGCTACAAACAGAACACGGACGTCGCTCAAAACGCGGAGTTATAGACGGCGTGGGATATGTTGCCAACTCGCTATTTGGTATACTAGATCAACGTTTTGCGGACAAATACAACAAAGACATCAAAAAGATACAGTTTAACGAAAATCATCTTTTGAACCTGTATAAAAACCACACATCAATCATCGAGGGCGAATACAACATTTTAAAACGGAATGAAGAAGTTTTCAACAAACAGTTTCGTGCAATCACCCATCATCTACAGCAACTCGAAAATCATGTTCATCAAGACAAATCTAACACTCAATATATTATAGCGACTGCACTTGCCGCTAATATGATATTGACAAACTTACGTAACGTCCAACAGCTGTTACTTGACCTCGTCACGGACATTCGAGACGGCCGAGTAGACACACACCTATTGAAACCCGAGGAGTTCGAAAAGCAATTAAACATTATTTCGCGACAAATACCAAGTGGATTAACATTGCCTTGTACAAACAGTTACGAATGCACTCGTCTAATGTACAAAATTTCAAGAGTACATGTGCGATTAACTAACCACTTCCTAATCTTTGAAGTAAAGTTACCGCTGGTCTCCCCGGAGCTGTACGAATTGTCTCGAGTACTACCAATCAAAATGAAGCAAGGAAAATCATTACTTCACGTGATTCCAACATCTGAGTACATAGCCGTAGACCAAAGAAGAAGTCTGTTAATCACAATCAGCTGGAAGGACATGATGCAATGTTTACATGCCAATGAACATTTACTACTATGTAACATCAACTTACCTATCTACGACATAAAGACTACACAATCAATTTGTGAAGCGCAAATAATCGGAAAAAAGGCCGCTACAACGTGCCGCACGATGGTGTCAGATTGCAACGTTGAATGGCTGCAATTACATAACCAGCGTTCCTGGTTATTCACCTGTTGTGAGGAATGCCACACAAGCATTTTTTGCTCAGCTGAGGAGGTCACGTCACAAGTTTTACGTAACACAGGCATAGTTACGATACCAGATGGATGCATGTTGCAAGGAGAAGACCATGTGATACATTCACATAGCAATTTCCACAACGAAGTTCATATACAAGAGGAACACGAGTCGTATATAGCTCAGTCCGGAATCAACAAATACCTCTCTATCAACAACATAACGGGCCTAAACTTTAACCCAGAGACTCACAGTACGCAACTCAACACATTGAAGGAGAAGATTGAGTCTGTGAAAAGCCAACAAGACACCCTAAGAGAGCTAACAGATGATGATGATGTCCATCATTACGTTATGTATACATTTATGGCCCTTTGTATATTGAGTGTTGGTCTGTTTCTGTGTAAACAAAAATACAAAAGGCAGTCAAGCAAACAAGACCAGACCGAATTAAAAATGAGAGACGCTACCGCCGCCGCCGTAACCCCTTGTGGAACAAACCGTGACATCAGTAGCACCGGCAATGATGACGACTTCGCGCAGACTCGCGGATTCGACGTGAGAGTTGACAGAGCAACGTCACCAAGGCCTCATCGCAAGAATTAGAATTAAGTGAAAATATTTCTTTTTTATATAAATTATTAATGTATTTTAGTTACATTTCCTTTTACGTTTATTTTGTTTACATTTACTTTTACGTTGTTTACATTTACCTTTAAATTTACCTTGTTTTTGTACGGTGTCAAGTTCATTTCTTGAGTCGGGAGCATGTACGAGCTACCTCGACATACTTAGGAAAATATTATAATAATTGCAAAACTATATACGCTGACGTAGATTTTAACATAAAAAGCTATTACGTGTTTACTTTATTTAGAGTTCAATAAACGGAATCATTGAGTGCGGACACGTTTCATTACTAACATCCCGTTCCAGTGATAAACTGATTGACTCTCCAGCAAACTACAACTTAGAGTAAGGGAAGCTACCCTTACAAACTTAATGAAACCTTTTGAGGTTTGAAAGTTGTTGGTACTTTCAAAATGGACTTACGACGATTAAACTATTTCATGAAATTATAGATAGCGTGCATAAGATAAGATTTACGTTTGGAGGCCTTTCTGATTTTTAGATTTTACGCCTCCTATGTTCCAAAGGCCAGTAACGTGAAACATTTGTTAATTGGTGTAATTCGCACCATCGTGAAATGCATGCATACGTAACAAATCTAACATATATCGAGTTCTAAGGCTTTCGCGTTTACTATACATTGGAAATAAATTTTTTTTCGGGTCTAAATCGCGTAAATGTAGATATATATATATATATACCTATACACAAGGTTTTGGAGCTTTTACAGGTGTCGGTCATTGTTGACTACAAATACGTATTTCTCATTCTGTCAGCCGTGACCGCCGCCGGAAAATTAGACACACCGATGTCTGTACATTAATTGACACATTTGATTTTCTCAGAAACTATTTGATATACATAAATGAAAATAATGTTGATATTAAGGGTTGAAGGCGTCGACAAAGGTAAATTAATGATTTAAGGGTATTTGAGAGTCTAGATTACGAACACATTACACAATTTGTTTTAAAAAAAGATGTTTCAAGTTTACTACTTCATTCAGTTACAAATCTTTGGTATAATTCACCGCGTAAGCACAAATACAAAATCGATCTTCAAAGTTGCAGAAAGTTAATTATAAACGTTTTTTGTTCAAATCATACTGTTTATTTAACTCAATCGAAATGGATTTTGCTTAGGTACATACATACATACACAAGGGATTTGTCAACTTATGTCTCAGGGTGACAGGCGCAGTGGCAGTTCCCCATAGATGTTTGTGATTTTAAGTTCCGAGTGTCACTGCAACTGTTTTTTTTTTATTGGAAGACCAACGGCTATCAGAATAAAAACGTAATGGAGAGCCAATTGTAGGTCGTCACCGATAAACACACATTGAGTTGATATTAATGAGCATTAATTTATAACTATAATAACTACCTAACTAGTAACTGTAACTATACTGACAAATTCGCGACACTTAGTAATTACCTATGCTTGGATAATACATTGAAGCTGTTACTTGGTATAAAAAAATAAGCATCACTTGCCAGCGATGTAGTTCTAAATAAAAGCAACAAAAATTACTATGGTTCGCAAATTTCTCTAGGTACATACGTGTACAAACTATACAATGAAAATCATCACAGCAACATGTGAAACACGAACATTAAACTACAAGTAACTTACGAGTAAGCAATGCTGAGTTAACAGTAGTTACGCCGAGACTAAACACGCGAGTTGCGTCACATTCGCCCCCGATTCGTGCGACATGGGTGTCGCTTGCGCATCAGGGTTGGTGCACTTTTATAAAACAAGAGCCTCTTTCATGACAATGATTATGTTTTTACATTTTTACACTGATACCTACATACCATGCGACTGTGTATTTAATACACGCTTATGACAATGTGCCATGACATTATCTATATATGGATTCACAAACGTTCGTGAATTCACCGAAATGTTTTAAGATAGAGCACTCGCTTCTAGTTGCCGGTTGCTTATACCCAACACAAGACACATGTTTGCGCGGCGCCTAATGGGCACGTCATCTCATTTCAAGAATTTTGACGGTAGTGACGACAGATCGAACAAACGTATGAATAGCGATAGAACAGGAAATTCGAGAACGAATCAAAATTTTAAAAATAGGCGCCAGGAACCAGAAAAAAATGATGATAAAAAGGTAGGATGACAATTAAGGAGGTCAGCATTGTCACAGTGGCGTGTACAGTCGATTCCCTGAGATACCTGACCCCACAGATCACATAAATACTAGCCTGATCCCTTAGCTGACCTTTTGGCTCTGAGAGCCTTCTTACGCATTCGACAGAAAAGTGTAAAAGAATTGTAGCTTTATGGTAAAAATTTGTATTTCTGTAATGTAATTAAAGATGTCATTGGCTTAAAAAGTTTCTTAAACCTTCGTCCACTAACGATGAGATAATAAAGTCACATCAAAGTGAATTTTATGGCTCACAGGTTAAAGGGTCAGGTATCTTATGGCATCAACTGTATAGTAAGATGGTATAATGAACCCGACGCATACTTCAGGAGCTGGCCGAAGGTTGCACAAGATCTACAGGCGTGGTAAAGTTCGGGGGAGGTTATTGGAGAGATAAAAAATATAAAATTTTATCCGTTTTAAACAACTTATTAAGGATTCTCAGTCTGTAAAACGGTGATGCTCAATTAGTTTATCGATACAATAATCGATTTCATTTTTCCCTGTCACGTGGACATTTTTTTCTTGGGATAATCGAGATAAACAAATATGATTGATAAACAATATCAATGATACAAAGCAGTCGACATTGCGATTTGATAAGGTTTTATAGAATGATCAAACTGCTAGTACAATTTGTTACTTGAGCGAAAGTAAAGAACGAATTGTCAAAGGAATATAATTTTGAATAAGTAATATACATAATAATGATAGCGAATATGTTTCCTACATAAATTAAATGTTGAAAGTCAATAAATAGCGACATCAAGAAAGAAGGACTGTCAATAAGATAAATAAAATAAAAATAAAAGATAAAAATAAAAAAACAAATTAAAAAAATACAAATCTCAGGCAAGACCATAGATAGGTGTAGTCTCTATTAATAACCATAACAAGAAAACAATAAGGTCCAAACATCAGTATCAAGCAGTTAAAAGTAATGGAACCTTTTTTAATTTATCGATAAAATTATAAAGAAAAAATCTGCATTT